TTTTAATGCTGGTACATGTACTAATAGAAAAGGTATATATCAGCTTTTGAAAGTTGGTTGGGCCATACCTATTGAAGATCAAAGAAAAGTTAAACTAGCAAGCGTAGATGATAACTGTATATTGTGGATGAATATAGTTTGTAAATTACCTAGAGGGAAACACTGTAACTAACATTGAAAGCAATTGTTAAAAAAAATATCAAACAATTGGAAAAAGATTCTAAAACATTAGAACTCCCTAACAAATAGTTAAATTTTCCCCATTCCTTCAACACCCTGAGCTCAATCCACATGCAATGTGACAGGAAAACTAAGACTAAACTGAGACTAATGCCTTGCCATTGTATGTGTCACTTGGTTAGTTAAGAAGATTCTAATTTAAAAAAAGAAAAAAACACCTGGTAAAAAGTGCAGGAAGGTGGATGGATGGGCACCAAGCTCCTACACTACCAAGATGGTGGGATAGGCCATGATGGGAGGAATTCGGAGAGTGTTTCAGGAATGCACAGGCCCTCTGCAGCATTTTGTTTTGTTTAATTTTAATTACAGAGTCTCTGTTACAAGTTTAAAGTAAATCTGTCAGTAGCATAAAGATAAAGAACAAGCTGAGGCAGTAGATACTAGGCAGCAACTGCTGGAACACGCTAGTTCCACATCTGTCACAGTGTACCAGTGCCCCATCAGCATCTGCAATAGTTTCTCATTACAACATCAACATCTGTCAGTGTCCCATTGCAACATCAACATCTGTTGGTGTCCCTAGTGGACCTTTAACATCTGTTGGTGTCTGTCAGTGGACGATCAACATCTGTCACAGTGTACAAGTGCACAAAAAAAATTTGTCACAGTGTACTAGTATACCATCAACATCTGCAATAGTGTACCATTGCAACATCAACATCTGTCAGTGTCCCATTGCAACATCAACATCTGCTGGTGACCCTAGTGGACCGTTAACATCTGTTGGTGTTTGCCCATGGATGATCAACATCTGTCACAGTGTACAAGTGCACAAAAACATCTGTCAGTGTGCCAGTGTTCCATCAACCTCTGTCACAATGTACCAGTGTCCCCATCAACATCTGCCACAGTATACCAGTGTCTCATCAACATCTGTCACAGTGTACCAGTGTCCCATCAACATCTGCAATAGTGTCCCATTGCAACATCAACATCTGTGAGTGTTCAATCGCAACATCAACATCTGTTTAAAACTAAAGAAACAGTGTAGAAAAAACAAATAAATAATTACATTTAAAGCACCCGCGTCACTCCATGCTTGTGTGGAAAGGCAAATGCGCACATTGGTCTCGTACACATACGTAAACAGCAATTGCACCACACATGTGAGGTATTGCCTCAAATGCAATAGCAAGAGCAATAATTGTAGCTAGATATGTGCAGTTCATTTAGTTTCAAATCAAATTTCAGACAAATGTTTCCATTATTCGGAGATTCGGATGTATCAGGATTACAAATTACAAAAATAATTAATTTAAACAAATTTGAAATAATGAAACAAAATTCATCCAAAATTCGATTCGAAAACAAATTTGAATTCGGAAACAAAATTGAAAACAAATTTGAATTTAAAAACAAAATCGAACAATCATTTGAAAACAAATTTAAAGCGGGGCTCCACCCAAAAGGGGAAGTTCCGCTTTAAGGACTAGTCCCCTGCTCCCCGTTAAGGATTAGCATTAGGGGGTAACGGGTACCCAAAAATTGACAGGTACCAGCTCCCACTTACACTGTGTTCTCCTAAGTCCTCCCCCCCTCCCTGCAGTCTTCTGGGACATGTGACAGGTCTTAGAAGACTACAGGACCAGCCGCAAGCTGTCACAGCCATGTGCCCACATTGAAGATGCCGGTACCGAGCAGAAAGGAACGTTGGTCAACCTGGCCGATGTGAGGACACCGTGGGATCAACGGACAGGTGACTGGCTGTTTTTTCAGCAGCTGCAGTTTTTTCTTTCTGCCCCTTTGAATTTTTCTGTCACTTCTGTCGAAAATGAACATTGATTTGACCCTGATTAGAAAATCAAAAAAATATTCCTGAAATGAATATTCTCAAATGAAAATCTACACATCTGACCGATTTTAAAAAGATTTCAATCGAATGCAAAATTCAAACTTTTTTCCCCCTGATTTAAGCTGGCCATACACGTGTAGATTTGTTGGCCGAGAATATTCGTAAGAAAAGTTGTATGAAAACTCTTTGCACATTTAATAAATGGACGAATGTCATTCAAAAATTGTCCATCTTGAAGGGCTTCATAAGAAGTCCGGAAGTGCCAAAACGCGTCAACAGACGTGACGTCTGACATAATTGCGCAAAACTGGCAGTGTCAGCGCAGCCATTTTGTTGACTGGAAAACGTGTTTTGACCTTAGGTAGCTGCTGTGGCTGGATCATGGGAATCTATCATTGAATGTTCAAAGTCCCTAATGTAAGCTACTGCATTAAATGATTTGATACCTATTATATTATTCTACAAGGGTTCTATCTTTTTTGAGGATGATGGTGTATTAAAGGTTTACCCTACATACAGCTATTGAGAGATTGGAAGTGACTGCAAAAAACATCTGAATATCCCTTAAGGCTTGACATTACTCTATGAGGGTAATTGTATGCATTCTTGCCATATAGAGATGGTCACGGAGTGTTCACATAATTGTTTATTGAAAGAAAATTTGTTTATTTTTTTTTAATTTTATTTTTGTTATTTAATTTAGTTTATTATTGATTTGGTTTGTTTATTTATTTTATTGTATTTATTTATTATTTTATTTATATTTTTTTAATTTTTTGTTTTTGAGTGTACGCAATTTGTCACTATATATTAGTTTATTTACAGTGTACACAGAGTGATTTTGCATGATTCACGTGTTTTCACGTGGTGAATCTTTTTGCACAGATTTAGTATATACTTATTTGTTTGAAGGTATATAATTATTATTTGAAGGTAACACACTATTTTTTTTTTTTTTTTTTTGCGAGTTAATCACTGGGTCCGGAATACTGGAAATATTGAAGTTGGACACACAGGATTGAGAGATTTTGGTGGACTTGAAAATTTAAATTTTTTTTGGGACTTTATTTAATTTTATAGTTTGTTTTATTAATTTAAGTTAAGGTTAAGAAAAAGGTTTGAATACTTATACCAATTTCAAATGTGAATGACTTTTCGAATTTGGTTGAAATGTTTTCGAATTTAATGTTTTCAAAACTAATCCCGAAAACTGATGGAACAATTTTACCGAATCCAACTACATTAAATTTGTTAGATTTCGAATCGAAACGAAACACATTTTTTTTAATTTTGCACATGTCTAATTGTAGCACAATACCTCCTTTATTACTATAAATTGATAACCTGTAATGGGTTTTAACCTCTTGCCGTCCGCCTGCTGTTTATAAACATTGCCAGGGCGGTGGCAGTCCAAGGTCGGGTTGCCGTTCCTAAACGGCACCCGCCTTTTCTAGCTGTGCGCGCTCCCTAGGAGCGCGCACCAGCGCGATCCGGTGTCCGCTGTGTCCTCCGGACACAGTGAAACACCGAACGTCGGACGGGACCTCTGTACGAGGTCCCGGTCATTTGATCACTGATTGGCGAATCAGTGATCACATGCAAAGTAGTGAGCAAGATGTCACTTGTGACATCATTGCTTACTACGTGTGAAATCTGTGAATTCACAGAGGTCACATGGTACAAGGCTATTCACAACAGCCTTGTACCATGTGACAAGCTGTGACCAATCACAGCTCACTCAGTATTTCTCAATGACTGCAAGAATGCAGACAGAGAGAAAGAGAAATGATTGCTTTTAATCCTATATGGGTGTAAAAGCAATCAGTGTAAAAAAAAAAAAAAAAAAAATCTTCATTCACCCCCCACAAGTAGTACAGTGTCACCATGGTGACACTGTACTGCTAGGGTGACAGTATGTAAAAATAAAAAATAAAAATAAAAAAAATAATATAAAAAAAAAAAAAATAAAAATGTAAAAAAAAATGTTTAAAAATTTATAATGTTTTATTATAAACTAATTTGGATTTTTTTTTTTTACTAAAAAAATAACGGAATAAATTTTGGCCAAGATTTAGGATGAAATATTATTTATTTGCAAAATTTTACTTAAAAAAAACACTTTTTTTCAAATTTTTGGACATTTTCATTTCATAGTAAAAAAAATAAAAATCCCAGCGGTGAATAAATACCACCCCCAAAATAAAGCTTTATCTGTCTCAAAAAATTGGTAAAAAATTCATATGGGATACAGTATTGCATGACCGCGCAATTGTCATTCAAAGTGTGATAGGCTGAAAGCTGAAAATTGCCCTGGACAGGAAGGGGGTAAAAGTGTCCGGACAGGAAGTGGTTAAAGCATTGCCTATGGAGATTTTTAAATACCATAGTTTGGCGGTATTTCACAAGTGTGAGCAATTTTACAGCGTGAAATGTTTAGTATCTATTTATTCGGCACAATACCATATTTTACCAAAAATATTGTATTTGTGTGCAATAAAATTAATTAAAGTGTACTTTTTTTTTTCCCAAAAAAATTGCATTCAAAACGCTCTGTGCAAATACATAAAATAGTTTTTTTAAAAAACCATTTTAATCCCTAGGGGCCTTTGCTAAAAATATAATATTTGGGGTTCTAAGTAATTTTACTTTAAATAAAATGTGTGCTGTTTTAAAGTGGATAATGTTGAAGGTACTCTTTGGATGTACCTCCTCTATGTGGCTAGGCTGTGAAAAAGTCTCACACATCATGGTATCTCCATACTCAGGGGAAGTAGCATAATGTGTTTTGTGGTGTAGTTGCAATATGCCTACGCCGTGTGTGAGAAATAACTTTTTTAACCACTTTACTGCCGTTTTATAGTAGAAGTACTGCTACAGTACGGCAGGGCTGCTCTCACGCATATATACATGATTTGCATTTCCTGGTTGGGGGCGCATGCGCCGCCTTACTCGTGCTGCTAGGGATGTCAATCACTGGGTCCTGGCCGGTGATCGCCGTGTAAAGCTGACAGAGGAGAGACCTGTGTGTAAACAACACAGGTCTCTCTCCTGCCAACAAGGACTTGCAGCAGAAAAACAGGAAGCAGCATGTTTCCCTAGTAAAACATACACAGCACATAATGTAAAACACACACAGTTAACCCTTTGATCGCCCCAGATGTTAACTCCTTCCTGCCCAGTGTCATTAGTACAGTGTCAGTGCTTTTTATTAGCACTGGTCACTGTATTAGTGTCACTGGGGATGTCAGTGGCAGTTAGTCAGTTTCCACCCAGTGTCAGAATGCCCATCGCAGTCCCGCTATATGTCGCTGGTCACCGCCATTGCTAGTATAATAAAAATAAAAAATTCCAGTATACCTATATACCTACTATACCGTTCACGTAATTTACTAATTATTTACACATATTGGGATTACTTTTAGCAAAGACATGTAGCAGAATATATTTAGCCTAAATTTATGAAGAAATTAGATTTTTTTAAATTCTTTTCATTAGATATGTTATATAGCAAAAATTCTAAAATATTGTGTTTTTTTTTTCAAAATTGTAGGTCTTTTTTTGTAAAATATCACCAAATTAAAGTTCTATTTGTGGGAAAAAAATTACATACATTTAAGTTATGTACAGAGTTGCATGACCACGCAATTGTCAGTTAAAGTAACGCAGTGCTGTATCTCAAAAAATGGCCTGGTCAGGAAGGGGGGTAAATCCTCTGGAAAGCAAGTGGTTAATATGACATTTTTGTGAAAAAAAACAAACATTTTATTTATTGTCTTCATTTTACAAAGAATTGTGCGAAAAAACTTCAAAAACACACTATGCCTCTTACTAAATACTTTTGACTGTCTAATTTCCAAAAAGGAGCCATTTGGTGGGTATTTGTACTCTCCTGGCATGATAGGGCCTGTAGAAATGTGATGGGCAGTCAAGTGGGGACCAGGCGTGATCAATTTTCAATGATAGGTACCATAGACTATAACTTTCACACAGACCAAATAATATGCACTGATTTAGATTATTTTTTTTTACCAAACAAATGAAGCAGTATAAATTTTAGGTCACAATTTATGAATAAAAAAAACTTACTTGCAACATTTTTTAACAGAAACTAAGAACAATGCATTTTGTTTTCAAAATGTTTAGTCTTTTGACCAAAAGAAAGCACTATTTGTGTGAAAAAAAATGCTAAACATTTCATATGGGTAGAGTGCTGCATATTCAAAGTGTGAGAGTGCTGAAAGCTGAAAATTGATCTGGGCAAGAAGGGGGTAAACATGTCCAGTATTGAGGTGGTTAAACACTTACAGTAGACCACAAATATTTGGCTTTCTGAACACTTTTTAGTGTACCTTTTAGATCTGGTAGCATATCAGAAAAAATAACCTGTAATGTAATCTATTACTTACTGTTTTATACTGTAAAAAACCTTCTGTTTTTGCAATTTGAAATGACTCTTGGCTATGTTGCATACATGAAAGAAACATACAAAAATATATAACTGTTGTTGAAACAAATCCAGTACACCAACTACAACTGGATTATCTGTGGAGAGCCAAATGTAGTGGATCTGTTGTTTGGAATCCAGTGCAGATATACCAAGTACTGTTACTTATGTGAATGGGACTCCACTCCAAAAAAAATTGTTTCCAGGACAGAAAAACATGGACCATGAACCACTTTGTCATGATCAGAGGTCAGGCCAGGAGACCAGTAGCTATAGCAGTAGAGAGATCAGCAGGAAAGGTACATGGGCCGGTAACCCTGGTGGATGACACAGGCTCACCCTAGGTACGGGGTCTAAGCATGATATTCATCAGAGCTCCTGATGGTGGAGATGGGTTAGTGCCAGGTTGCAGTCTTCAGGATTGCACCACCAGGAGGTGAGGAATTTGGGGTCCAGTAGCAGATATAGCAGGTAGGGATCAAGCAGAATCATAGTCAGGGAACAAGCCAAAGGTCGTTAACGAGTGGTAGTGAGGACACAGACAGCAGCAGGAGTGACAAAAGATAGATATTGACTGGAGAGAGCACAATATTCTGACAAACAATAAGTGCTAAGACTTGGCTTAAAAAGGAAGTTCATGGGAGGAGCAAAGAGGTTAAGGTTCACTCAGAAACAAGACAAAAAGTAAGTTTATCCAAGTAATCAGGCAAGGCACTGATCAGCATCTCAGCTGGCTCAACAATAAGACCTACTGCCAGATGCAGCAGGAGTAGTGGGTTCAGATCCTGATACACTTGTTGACCTGACAAAGATATCTTTACCTCCAATTCCCATAAAACTTGGGCTGATGAAGAATTTAGGAAAGCGATGAACATAAAGGGAAGGTAAAGGTTTTCAATATTTGAATAACTGATGCCAAGATTAAAGTAGAACTATAGGCAAAGTTTTTTTTTTCCATTTTGGATAGAACAAGGGAGGGGTTTTTTGGTTATCTGTGTCCATTGCAAAGATGTCTGTTCACTTCTTGTCCCACAGCCAAGCAGGAAGTGAGAGGAAATCCCTGTAAATTATGGGAATTCCTTCGGGACCCCCAGGTCTCCAGAATTAGTTTCCCTACTTTTCTGGGGACAACCCATAGTTGGGATTTTTTTTTACTTTCACTTTCAATGGTAATAGTAAACAGGACAAATAGAGAGGATGAATCTCCTTAACCACTTGACAACCGGGCTTTAGCTGAATGGTGGCTACAGCGTGGTTGTCCAGTTCTGGGAGGGAGTCATGTGATTTCATCCTAGAAAGCGCCCTCCCGTGTGCCCCCAAAGGCGCGTACCCAGTGATCTCCATGTCCAATGACATGGCATATCACCGGGTAAATGCAGTTGCCGGTTGTCGGTTGCAGTTTCCTCATGCTGACCGGCAATTGTCAGAAAACAGATCAGCACTGATCATCAGGGCACTGATGATCAGTGCCCAGCAGTGCCATCCACCTGTGCCACCCAGTGCCCACCCACAAGTGTCAAGCAGTGCCACCCACCTGTGCCCAGCAGTGCCACCCATCTGTGCCCATCAGTGCCTAGCAGTGCCACCCACCCTTTACCCAGCAGTGCCCCCCATCAGTGTTGTCCATCAGTGCTGCCCAGCAGTGCCGTCAGTCAGTGCTCTTCAGTGTCCTTCAGTGCTTCCCATCAGTGCAGCCTATCAGTACCCATCAGTGCCACCTATCAGTGCCCATCATTGCTGCATATCAGTGCAGCATCATTAGTGCCAGCATCATCAGTGCCGCCTATCAGTGCTGCTTCTCGGTGCCGCCTATCCGTGCCACCTCATCAGTGCAGCCGATCAGTGCTGCCTATCAGTGCCCATCAGCGATGCCTATCAGTGTCCATCAGTGATGCCTATCAGTGCAGCCTTATCAATGCACATCAGTGCAGAAAAAAAAGTGCCTGTTTGCAAAACTGTATGATAGAAACAAAGAAAAACTTTTTTTTTAAATGTTTTGCTCTTTTTTTGTTTATAGCACAAAAAATAAAACACCCAGTAGTGATTAAATACCACCAAAAGAAAGCTCTATTTGTGTAAAAAAAAAATGATAACAATGTCATATGGGTATAGTGTTACATAAACCACGCAATTGTCATTCAAAATGCAACAGCGCTGAAAGCTGGAAATTGGCATGGGCAGGAAGGAGGTATAAGTGCCCAGTAGGTGTACCTAACCATGCCGTCATTTGTGGCCACGGCTGTCAATCACTGGGTCCTGGCCAGTGATGACTCGCCGGTGCCTGGTGATTACCAAGGATCTCTGATGGGGAGGAGTACTGTTTTGTTTACTAACAGTTCTCCTCCCTGCCAGCTCGGGCACACTGCTTTGGATGGCTGTACACAGCACAGCCCTCCAAAGCAGTGTGCTTACAGTGAAGCACACAGACACTGCCCCCTAGTAAAACACTCCCTGTACACAGTTAACACTTTGATCACCCGTCATGTTAACCTCTTCCTGTCCAGTGCCATTAGTACAGTGTCAGTGCTTTTTTTTTAGCACTGATCACTGTATTGATGTCACTGGGGATTTCAGTGACACCAAGTCAGTTCCCCCCAGTGTAAGAATGCCCGCCGCTGTCCCGCATAAGTTGCTGATCTCCGCCATTACTAGTAAAAAAATAAAACAATAAATAACTCCAGTATCTATACCGCCGTTTGTAAACGGTATAACTTTCACATTAACCAATTAATTTACATGTATTGGGATTTTTTTTTAGCAAAGACATGTAGCAGAATAAATTTTGGCCTAAATTTATGATGAAATTTGAATTATTTAATTTTTTTACTGGATATGTTTAATAGCAAAAAGTCAAAAATATTGTTTTTTTCTCAAAATTGTCAGTCTTTTTTTTTATAGCGCAAAAAATTTAAAATACACAGGTGATCAAATGCCACTGAAAGAAAGTTCTATTCGTGGGAAAAAAGGACGTAAGTTTCATTTGGGTGCAGTGTTCCAGGACCGTGCAATCGTCACTTAAAGTAATGCAGTGCCGTAAAGCAAAAAATTGACAGTTCAGGAACGGGGGTAAATCTTCAGGAGGGCAAGTGGTTAAGGAAGGCGTTTTTGTTGGTCCAAAAATCAGATACATCATAAATGAAAAGCAGTTTGAAGTTCTGTTAGTGGGGAAACTTGCCTGTAAAGCATTCAAGGATGTGGTTGAGAATTTTATTTGGCAACTAGTGGGCACCACACTACATTCATCTGGTTGACAATCTTCTTACAGCATACAAGATCATGAAGTGCTACAAGTCCCCAAGACATTTCCATAATAGAAAAACAGTATTAAGAAGCTATAGCTTGAAGCTTATGTTCTTACTAGAAAATGCCAGTATATTTTCAAATTATAGAACTATGCTCTATGGAAGATCAATAAATGAAGAGCAAGATACTTTTTGATCTGCTTACAGTATATGTCAGTATTTAAAATGTTAATAATGGACAATTATCATAGCTATTGCACTAACAATGGATACATGTTTGATAATCTCCCGGTGTTATATTGCATTGTATGCACATTTTTGTATCAAATGATGACCCTGTATACTGCAGTATTCACCTGCTAAAGGAGATTTGGATAAAAAATGGAATGACATTTCTAAAAATCATTAAAAGAAAAATTGCTATTGCCATGTGAAAGTAGACTGTTACTTGTGAATAGGCTGGCTTGCCAGAATCCATTTGTATAAAGCATGGATCACTAAGATAATGAAAAATAGAAGAATTACTCCTTTCAATGAGTCTGTCCATTTTAATTTAGACCCAGCGTTATTCTGGTTTCCTGTGTTCCATTAAATATACTTACCTAGCGTTGAAGA